AAATGCAATTTCACTAAAATTATATTTAGTTTTAATATAAAATCATATATTAATTTTTGTGATCCATTTCAATGAAACTTATATGTAAATCAATAAAGAATATTAAATATAGTGATGGTTTTCAATATTTAACATTATATAGTTATAATTATATATGTTATTTGTTTAGTTTAAATATATAAAAAGAAATTATGTAAGCGTTTCTCAATCTTTTTGCCACGCGACCTAACATATTTGTTTGTAGTTCTACTGCGACAATAATTCGCAACTTATTATTTTGCTGAATTTCAATAAATGTTTAATAAATAGTACACAAAGCATGTATGTATTTTCTCGAATTTCAGCAGTTCTTCGCTTTGACGCAAGGTGACAGCTGTCATTACAAATTTAACATAACTCATAGGTTGAGAAACTACCAATATAATATGAATATACTCTTGAAAATAAAACATAATTTAAAAAATTAGTTTAAGTTAAAATTAATAAGTATATTAAGATTGTTGGAATATATAAGTTAAATATAAATTATTGCTTTGGTATCTACATTTAATTTAATCACCTCACGACATATTTTTTTTGAAGCATACCAATGTATTTAAAGAAATATACAAATGTATTTAAAGTATCGATGTGTCTGGCTTTCTCACAAAGTTACAAAGCTTGTCGGGAAAGAGCGATATACAGTCGGTATAAATTGAATTCACGTGTAAAAAGTTTTTTTTTTAATCGGAACAAATCGCAAATATTTATACCTTTACGCACCAACTCTAGAGAGTTTCCTGACTACTTATATAGTATCTCATGTGTGTTACTTATTTTGCAGGTCAACGTACACTCCTATAATTAAATATTAGCATTAGTACAATAATAATAACTTCCGTATATTTTAAGAAGTTCATACAGGAAATTATCGATAATTATAGATAGAAATTTATTTTGTCTTCATATGAAAAATAATACAAAATTATACTTTTTATTTGTACCAAGTTTAATAAAATTTAAAGAAATTATTAAACATCCAAATAAAATATTCTTTTTTTTAAGTTTAGAAGTAAAATATTCCAAGAAATTCATTCTTTTCATACGTTTTTTTGTAGTGTTCAAACAATAAATGATAATATTTTCTCTGTATATTTTTGTTAAGTCTGTTGAAAACGCTTTTTTTTATATAATAGTAATAGGTTTTTATAATTATCTTTATACTTATAAATAATTTTAATTCGAACAAAAAAAAGTCTAATTTTAATACTTTATAGATTTCTTCAGTTATAAGGTTTTTTAATTGGTTACATTTTATGAAAATATTTTTTTGTATAAATGATATATTAAAATGTTTTAGTTTTATCATCATTTTTAATTTTCAAGTTATATTTACCAAAAGAAACTTTTGTTTGCTTAAACAATAATCGAATCATTAGTTCGAAACAAAGAAAATATTGTCTTGATTTATTTAATTTAAAAAAATCTTGATGCCATCAACAAAATTTAAATAAAATCAACCTGTATTGTAATTATTAATAAATATAATGCAACAATTTACATTATTTTTATCGATTACAACAATAAGGAAATTAAGAATTTTCAACAATAATAAATTAAATTCCATAGTAAAACTTTTCATTTTCTTATAAAATAAATTAATGAAAATATCTATTGATGCTGATGGTGAAGTTTATTTTGTTTTTATATCATTTGCACTACACATATGGTAAATACTTATGAGCGTTTCAGATAACGAAAATGTTTATTTTCTGAACTCGTTTTATTTTTCTGTTGTTATTTTTAATAATCTTCAAGCATTAAGAAACACACGCTAATGATATGAATTCTATTTGCGCGCATTGCAATTAAACTGTTATTGTTACTTCGAACATACACGTATATTCGAAGCACTTGAACTTGAGAGACGCAAAAAAAAATATGAACGTCTGGTGCTAATTCCAAAACAACATTCGAGAACGTGCTGCAATTTCTTTTAATCTCTCATTAATTCCAACGGTCCATTTGCATACGTAGACTTTTCACAAATCAATAATGCATATTGGAGAGAACAGCAAAACACACCTACGCGTTCGCTATTGTTAACATTGCGATAAACGCTTATTACGATAAACAAATTAAAAAAAATATACTTATCAATTCCTTTTAGTAGCTTAATAGCTCCAAGAATAAGGCACACGAACAATGGAAACAAAACGAAAAAAAACGTTTATCGTGCGTGATAAACTCCAGCTAAAGTAAGCTATTAAGAGATTGCACATTTCCGTCGGCAATTGTACATTGTTGTATTATTATTTATTTTTATATGTGTAATTTGCATGGAACACTATTAAAAATGATCGTTTAACGCAAATAGTTAATAATTATGCTGCCAATTAATTTGATTACGAATAGAACTGTGTATAATGACGAGATAAAATTAACGTCTTGTTATTATCAATAATAATAATAAACTTTAATATCGTCAGTGCAATGATTTCAATGTTAATTGTTTTTTTTATTTTGTTGTTAAGTTTAATAAACAGAGGGAAATTAATTAAAAGCAATCGCGTTTCGCGGAATAAATAGGTCTTTGATATTGCGGAATTTCACTGCCAAGATTTTTACTTTATGTGTGTCACGAGTTTCATGGGTGCACTTAATGTCATAGAAATAGATCAAAGTCGTAAGAGAATTTCTATTTTAATTGAAATTTGTTAATGAACGTTTACTTCAATATAATTATATAACGACGAATTTGAAAAAGAAAAGTGTTGTTGGAATATAATTATTTTTACATTTTAATTGGCACTTTGCCTCATTACATAATTGAAGATAGACAAATTTCATTTACTTATCCATAATTAACTTTATAATTTAATATTGTTGAAGAATTTAGTTCTGATTCAAATTTTTAGTAATATTTTTATAAGTAAATTTAATTAATTATCCAAAATATTAGCGTAATTATAAAAAATAGACTTTAATTTAATAATTATAAAGAATTAGGTTCTTATACAAATTTTAATAATATTTTGTAAGTAAATTTAATTAATTATTCGAAATGTTTGCTTAATTAGAAAAATAAGCTATATAAAATTTAAGAATATTTAATTATTTACTTCTTATACAAAATCGGTAATATTTGAAGTAAATTTAATTAATTATCTGAAATATTTGCATAATTATAAAAATAAACGTTATAATTAAATAATATTGAAGATGATGCAGTTTACAATGCTGATGAAAGTGTTAAGTAAAAGTAATTTATTAGGTAAATATAATTAAATGTCAGGAATGTCTCACGTTTACATAATCCGACTAATCGGAGTGACGGATTGCGGTTATTATTTTGAAATTAACTGGCGATTAATTTATACATCCATCCAACCATCCGAAAGACTAAGATACATTAACAATCCTTTAAGTGGGATTACGCAAGTAAGCGCGCTCTATATTTACCTCACTTTAATAACTGCAATTTAATTTCGTTCAGATTTGACGTTTTGTTGAGAATAAAATTGCGCGTGAAAATGCGGAGGTGATTAAATGCACTTTGGAGAGAAGAACAGTGGTTTGTGCCAATCAACTCTTCAACATCCTCATCCCGCAATTCCGACCCATTGTTAATCCGTCCGGATTCACCGTACCACGTTTTTTTTTGTACTTTTCCATTTTCATTTCGGTTTCCGGCTTTCCTTGGCGTGAATTGTTCGGCGGCGTAACATAAAAATTATCGCATCCTTTGTTGCCGTGCACCCAGTTAGTTCCATTCATTGTTATCGATTTGCATTTGGAAATTTCGTACCGGAATTTGGAACGATCGCTGCCGCTGCTTTCTATGGGCGATTTCCCGCAATGCGCGAGACGTCCGGAGTGAAATTCTTCCGTCGGGTGACCGAAGAAAGAATACGTAAAAGTATTAAATGAATTAAGAGAAAATGGAAAACTAATAATATGGGTTTTACTTGAAATGGTTTAGTAATGATTTACTTTATATGACTAAGTTGTACCATATTTTCTTTTTTTTTGTCTCGAATAGTATTTGAGCATACATGGCAAATTCTTTGTCTTTCAGTAGATGGAATATAAAATGTCTTTTCATAAAATTTACTGCAGTTATAAATGATCAATGTCTTTCCGGTCTAGCTTCATTGTTTTTGTAAAATTTGTCTCGCGATGTTCCTAATAATTTTCAATGGGGTGAAAATTAATTATTTTTATAATATTATATAAGTTTCGTTTCGTCGTCTATTGACGATAGTCATAGTTGCAGTGTTAAATAATAAAGTCGATGAAGACGATTGAATCGAAGTAGTAGTAGTTATTAAAAAAACTCTTCATTTTAATAAAATATCAATTACAAAATTCAATAAGTAAAACTATAGTTAATTAAAATAACGAGAATTTAAAAAAAAATAGTTGTGTCTGTAGATATGAAATAATTGTCTTTATATTTTCTGTACGTATGGAGCGGATTCAACGTAATTTACGATTTGATTAATTAAAACTATGAGTGGTTGTATGATTCTATCATCCTCCTACAGTAAAACCGACGGAATTATTATTGTGGGTGGGTGTAAAACATCTGCTATAAATTTTAGTTTAGTAGCAGTGAGATATTGAGGAAGAGAGAAAAAGGAAGAAACTGGTTGGGGTACTGAGACGATTTTCTTTTTATATTCATCGCAACACTTTTATTTTCACGCTTCCACTTCTTGCGCTGCTGTTGCCTAGTGCGTCGTCTCCAACGACGTTCGCCACTCTTGAGAACTTTGGCTGAAATCCAAACCGGGACAGAATGCAGACAGATAAATTTAGACTTGTTCTTCAAAACTTTTGGATTTTTCTATATTTCCTGAACCGGGCATAGAGCATCATCACAAGCAATACGAAATACGCACGTCACGCAGTCCTTATGCGTCCACAAATTTAGTCATAAGACTTCGTCACCACTCTTAATTATCAATGGTGTGCATTACAGACTTTCATTTTTATATTTTTTTTTTGTTCTGTTACAGCTGGAGCACATCCTGCTACCGAGTTCACAAAACACGCTTTAGTCAAGCCCAGGATTTACCATGGGAGAGAGAAGCGACAAATTTCGTCCACGAGAGAAGAGGTAAAAATGATACTTTTTTTTCCTATTTAACAGTTGATTTTCGATTCAATTCAATTCAGCAATCGCACGGGTTACATATTTTTATGAGTATGGCATTGGCATTAATAATAGGAAACAATTAAATTATTTAACAGATTCGCTCGCTCTCGTTGAGCGCCAACGTTTTTTGCATAACACCAATTCGAGTCCACTCTATTCGAATGTCGTCGTTCCGCCTTCGTTTGTCATTCTCTTGTTTTATTTTGTTTTTGTTCGCGCGAATCGGCATTTGTAAAGAGCTTCAAACGAAATCGGATCGGAGACGCTCGTTGCGCAAGCAATTAAGAAACGGGGAGATCTACTTTATTTCTCAATAGTTTTACCACCAAATAAAACAATAAACATTTTGATCTGTAACTCCTTTTTTTACTGTCGCTGTTTTCATTTACTTCTGCTGAGTTTGTCAATCACAATACAGTAAAACCTCGCTTAACGAGCAAAATTAATTGTAAGAAAAATGACTCTATTAACGAGCGATGTTTTGCATAACGAGTGACGATGAGAAGAAAATTCCCGGATTGCTGTCTTCTACATCATTTTTAAAACTTGTGTACACATATGTGTATTTTTGAATATGTTTCACTATACGAGTAAAAATCCGGAAATTTTGGAACAGATTAAACTCCTTAAGCGAGATTCCACTGTATTAACCATCTTCGATTTTCTTTGTCATCTTTGTTTAAAGCGGACAATACTTTGCAAATATAATTTGTGTTTACTGTAAATACAAAACACAAATCTATTGTGTCCAAACATTATTATGTAATATATAATGGAATGTGAATTGGAAAACAGTTCCTATTGTTAGTGGTCATTCTAGTTGCATCTTAGTCCGCTTAGATTCCGCTTAATTGTGACACCGGTTAGTCTGAACAAATCCTAAAGTCCTAAAACCGACCAAATAATAAATGGAAATGGAACTTCGGACAATTGGGCCAGCCGCTTAATCGGGACGTCCCGATGTGTCCCGTCATTGGCCAAGAGATGTTGTTAACTATTTGTTTATTTTACATTTATATTGCAAATGAAGTATCATGTCTTTCATAATATTAATTTTATAATTTATCATCAGAATGTCAAATTTATAAAATTCATTAATGATTAATATTTCAAAAAAGATTATATATGCAAAGTTTAACTACAACAATAATGCCTATCATCAATGAAATATCACATCAAGCGAATTATAAAAAAATTTAAAGATACTCAAACATTAATAATTTGAATAATGTTTCTATTACTTTTCAGTAGTAATAAAAGTTTTGTGGTCTATAATTTTGTTGCTGACATAATTTTGTTATTGACCCAGAGATGTCGCTACCAATTTGATTATTTTTCCTTCGTAATATTAATTTTATAATTTGTTGTCAAAATTATATAATTCATGCATGATTTATATTTATAAAATGTTATTTGTTTAATACTTTTAAATCATGGTAGATGTTACTAATGCAAGTTCTATTTTACAACATTTTCTTTTAAACTTAGTTTCATCATTGACGATAGATAGCGCTACAACAAATTTAGTTTAATTTGTTTATATATATGCTAGCTACTTGTCTATATCATCATTGAAATATCAAGTTTTCATGATAGTATGAAATACTACTTCATAATTTCCATTTCAATAAGGTTTATTTTACTTAAATTTATGTAACGTTACATCTTATATAAATCTTGCTGGTAATACAAGTTCCACGAAATCGCAATGAAATTCCAGTTACAAAACATGCCCAAAATTTACAGACAGGTTGCTTACGTATATAATCAGGCATACGTTACTTCTTACGCGCGCAGTAAATTCTTGAGATTAACAAGATCTTCAAACAATGACAATTTTCAAACTAGGCTTTCGTAGCTCGAAGCTCTCTCACATCTCCAGTTTTGTGACAGGCTTAAGCAGCCCGTTCTCAAAGTCTTTACAACAAACAAACAAAAAAGTCGTCGCGAAAGCGGATACGCTAAATTATGAAATGTGCAATCGTTTCCGTCGAGTGAAATCGTGATTTGACGAATTGATTTCAATCGAAATTAATTGCAAAAATCACCGTCATGGTCGTTGTTCTGCTTTCAATTATTTAATGAAACCGGAACAATTTAATATATATAGTTTAATATATATAGTTTAAATAATATGGCCAATTTTAATTTTTTGGTAAGATAAAAAAAATAACTTGCACAGCTCATTCTATTGTTTGTATCAGATTTTAATTTTTGGACAAAATTGGGACAACAAATAACTTATATACTTTATAGATTCAAAAACCAATTTCAATATATAATTGAATTTATAAGTTTTCGAGTAATTAAAAAAAAGATATGTATTCTCATTGTTGGATTATTACATTAAACATTGGGCATAAGTAAACTTACTTATCAGATTAACTGTACTTAATATATTTACTGAACGCATTTTGAGGTTTAAAAATAATAAAAAATATCCGATTAGTTAATGAAGACATTAATTATAGTCAGTAAACATTAACGAACATAATCTGATCAAAGGCAATAATCGCTACCCAAATAGTTAGTTAACCAAACATTGAATTCATTAAGATAAGTAACAAGAAATGGTCAATAAGATGTTCGTTAACCAAATTGTTCGGAAACGAATCATCGAAGCGTCTTCCTATATCAGGTGTTCGTTATCCGAATATGTGTTTGTTAACTGATTTATTCTCAATCCGAACTGTTCGTTAACCGATCACTCACTTTATTTTTTTTTAAGAAATTGGTTATTATTAATGGAAATAGAAACCGTCTATTTATTTGTTTTTTTTTATACACAATCACTTTATTCGAATTTAAACAACTTAATTGTGAATGAAAGTGCAATTTTATCTGCGGTTGAAACCTGAAACTGATCTTCACGGTGCGCATAATATGAAATATTAGAGTCAATTATGCTGTTAGTGCTCGTAGGAAATATCGTGGTTAGTTTTATCATGTGGTAGATTGAAAATACGGAATTAACGTTTAATAATTTTATTTAATTATAAAGTTTCAAACTAATGTTTATAAAATTTCAATTGGTTTCAAACAATTAATTTCCTGTTTAATTTAATTTATTATTTTCAAAACAAACTGAAATTTCTCATATATTCTGTGGAATATTTGTTTATAGCAAAACTTTATTTGTGAATTAAAAAATTAAAATATGCGGAGCATAATATTTACATTCAACGATTTATAGTAAGAAACGGATAAACAGTGAAGGCTGTTTTGCTACTTGCTTATAATAAGAAATCTGTAAATCATTTAAACACATGATGTAAATACAGTAAAACGTCGATTATCCTTGGTAATTCGGGAGCGTTAAAGTACGGATAATTTAAAAACACGGTTAATACAAACATCAATTTATTTGCTTTAAAAACTTAATATCTATGATATACTAGAAAAAAAAACATTTTACGTATTTTTTTATTGTAAATTATTTTATTCCTTGTAAAATTACTTAACTTGATTTACTAAACGGCCGATTTACATAGACAATTTTATTGTTTAACTTATAAAATAAGTAAACACTAAGACGGCGGTAAATTGAGACCCGGATAATCGTCGTTTTACCTGTACATACAATTTTTTAACACGTTCAATTCGTTCCGTGTTGAACGAAACCTGCAAATTATACAAATGTAAATGCATTACTTGTTACGTCGAATATTAGGTTTAAAATCGGACCTAAGCGGAAATATAATTTGATAATATATATTTACATATATTCAAATGTTTTTTGATGCATTGAAATTTAAAGAAATAACCGTGTTCTCAAAGTAGCTCAGAGAATAAGAGATCATGTGATATAATGTAGTATAAATTTAGTAAATGATTACCCTAACTAAGAGCCTTAATTATGCACAGCGTTTATGCTAATATTGGTAGTTTTTATCATTTGTAAATACAGAACAAGAATGATAAAAATCTAATTAACCTTTCTTTGTACACAAATATTTGTATACTTGTAGCTATATTTTATCTACATCTCGCTTCAATCAAAAAAAAAATTAATAGTTTGGTTTGATCATTTTATTTTTTTTTATTATAAAAATAAAAGAGTTGTTAAAAAGCAGAACTTTATAATGTTTGATATCTTAACTTTTGGTTAGATAACAATTTAAAATGTAAATCGCTGGGGACTGCGGTTGGTCTCTGTTCATGCAGAAGGAAACAGTTTCGGTATTCGGGAGTTCAGTGTCCTCCCCAAGTTCGCCTCCTCGCCTTTTGTAAAATACATAATATGTGTGCCGTGCCGTGGCATACATACATTCCATTCCGACTTGATTCGGCAGTTCCGGTTTAGCCCGGCTTCCGCTTGCACCGAACAAAATGCATTCTCCTATTATTTTCATTTTCCTCCTCTTCCTCAACCGTCATTGATAAGCAAAGCGCGGGCAGGAAGTGAAGTGACCCCATCATCGCAGACGACGACGAAAAAAACTATCTCCTCCAGCTATGGTAATTGCGTGCGTATCTCGGAGTCAAGAGAGGAAGCACGTTATCGGGAACGCGACTGCATTTAATCATTTGTCCTTCTGTAACGCTCTTCTTACAACCTATGTATTTATGACAGGATGGAGGTCACACGCATCACATCACCGTCGACTATGATTTGGATGGTCGTAAGTTCGTGCTCGATCTGCGGCTCAATCGCGATCTCATCCCCAAGGGCTACTTCCAGAGGTACCAGCAGAACGGCAAGCACGTGATCGACAAGCCAACGGACGATGTAATAATGATTCCGCGAAGCTACCTAGTTCTAGTATTTTATATGTTTTATGGTTGTTTATAGGTTGATTTGTGCCATTACAAGGGAACGGCACGGGGATTGCCGGGCTCCTGGGCGGCGATCTCCACCTGCGAGGATCGAGTTCGAGGCGTGGTCTTCGATGGACATGATATGCACTATATCGAAAATGACGACAGGTTCGAAGACCACTTGCTGTACAAGCACTCGGATTTCGTCGGGGGAGCTAATAAAACGTGCGGGTTCCACGGACCCAACGACGACGAGCATCATCACGCGGTCGATAATACTTTGTTCCGAGTAAGTCCTGCGTTTATTGGCACAGAGGACAGCTCTTATTAGCATCGTTTTGCTCTTTCAGCGAAAGAGATCCAGCGAGAAGCTGGTGCGTGGACCGTACAACGCCAACAAGCAGTCCCGATACGTGGAACTGGTCCTCGTCGTTGATAACAGGGAGTACAAGGAATTGGGCGAGAGCATGAAGAAGGTACAGCAGCACAGCAAGGACATCGCCAATATCATCAATGGGGTGAGTTTTTATTCATTGAACGCAACTTCAATTCAACTCTTAACAACTCTTCGTCTTTTACAGCTGTACGCGCCTCTGAACATTTACGTTGCCCTCGTCGGTCTGGTTATCTGGAGTGAATTCGACGAGATTGTTTTCTCGCCGAACGGCGATATCACGTTGACAAACTTCCTGCATTACAGACGCGCTCAATTGATTAAGCAACATCCGAACGATAACGCCCAACTCTTAACGTGAGTACCTGTTATTGTTGCATCTCTTGCGGTTTGCATTGCTTTGTTTCATTGCGCCCTAATCGCGGTAACTGCGTGTTTTCAGGAAATACACTTTTGATAATGGCGTTGTTGGCAAGGCTCTCAAAGGTCCCATATGCACTTACGAGTACTCAGGTGGCGTTAACACCGATCATTCGCCCATTTTAGGACTTGTGGCCACAACTGTTGCTCACGAGATGGGACATAACTTCGGTAAGCTCCACCATCATTCAAATTTTCGATACTAAATTTTACTGTGCATTACATACTTAATTTAACTGTAAATCTATCATTTATCTAACAACCCACCACATAAAATTACACATTCGTTTCATTCATTAATCCATATTTTGAGAGTATTTCAGAAACTAACGATTTATTGCTAAAATTAATGCATTTAAATATTTTATAACATAAACATTCATATAATTATATTTAATAATATTATTTTAATTTTACAAATATTTATTTAAAATTCTTTTTTGTGGCATAAAATTGATTATTTCAAATTTGGAAACTTACTACGCGAAAATATCCATATTCAATTTATATTTGAAATGTATTAGTTAAAAAGTGAATGAAAATAAAAGGATTGTTAACAAAATAAATTTTGATGGATCAAATAATCTCAACATTTAAAGCATTCTTTCCAAAATTGGGATTTTATTTTAAATATATAAACCTTAAAATTAAGTCATTGATCGTATGAGCTTTAGATTAGTAATTATAGACTAATTTGTTATCAATTTGAAAACGTTGAAAAACTATAATTTTAAAAGTAAACAGATTATGGAAAATCATTGTATACATAGATTCGCTCATATACAATAGATTTTAATTAATGCGTTTTCACGTAATCAATAATTTCAATCGAACGTCACTTCTATCGTAATGAAATCTGTAGGACACAAAATTTAATTATCTAATTTAATGAAGCTACTCAATCTGTTGAAGCAGCGGATTGATGGACGTCGTCCTTTCACCAAATGTCGATGAGAATATATATTTTTTTTAAATACAACTTATTTTTTGTGCTACCTTTCAAATGAATATACCATTCCTCTACACGCCAATTCAGAGAAAAGCCTTTCGCCATTTCCGACGTTGCAATAAATACCCGCTAAATACTTACATAACGTATATGAGGTCACGGGTTACATTAAACTAGATTATAATTGGGATGAAGTCACAACTGTAAATATGCTTCTCAGATTGTTGTCATTTCTTTGCAGCTGAATTCAACGCGTTCTGCATTTCCTTGTTATCTTCTTTCTTTGTTTTCGTTCACTTGCATTCAACTTTCGAGATAGAAAACTGCTTTATTATACGCACAGTCATCGATCGCATAACGCTTATCTAAATAGGATAACTGGCAGCTGTCAAATTGCAGAACTGTAACGATTTTATCGACGGTGCGGCGAGCTTTCATTTATTAAATTACTATTTGTGTATGTACACAAACGTATCTGATCTTTACTCTGTAAATTGTTATGAATTTCTTCTGCGGTGATCTTTAAAATAAACGAGTTTTAGTATTCGCTTATTATTTTGTGGGAGGACTCGATAAATGTTGAAATTGGAAGAGAACGTTTATTGTTTTTAGATCGGTTAAAGCTACTTTCGGAAATCGTAAACAATATTAATCAATTTAATTTTTTTCATATGAATTATATTAATCTCCAAACATAAAGTATAATTATACAAATATAAATTTTAATTGAAATAAATAATAATAAAATCTTTGTTTTTTCCTTTCAAATATTGCTTTCAAAATATCATAAATTAACTAATAAAAATCATTAAACTATTCAATTAAGTTTTTTTTATGTTAGGTTACATCAGGTTAGGTTACGATTTATTTATTCTATTTACATCAATTGTTATTATTAGTTGTGGTCTTAAAATACCAGAAAACACATTATAAAATTTATGAAAAATCTTTTAAGCTCAAATATATTCTAAACAAGAACGATCTAAATTAAGATTGCATATTTTGCAAGTTTTCAAGATAAACAAATACGTAACAAATTTAGTTTAGATTAAATGAATAATTTGTCACAAATTACCTATATTTCGGACTTTTTACATAGAATAATACATTATTTTGTATACTATTCAAATAGTTTATCAAGTTTCCACTTACATTTATACACAGAAGAGTACAGCAATACCTCGCATAGCCCGAAATCAGTTTGCTTTGAAAATTTCACAAAGTTAATTTTAATTTAAAAAAAATACTGCAATTTTTTTATACATAAATGATCCGCTCTTATCACTTTAAGAAAATCTCATTTTGTCTGGTTTATTTTTGTATATATCGATTAATCCGGTTTCAAATAGTCCGGGATATTGGATTACCCGCACTATGCGAAGTATGGATATAATTCTGATTTCTTGTAATCACGTTTGCAATAATAATAATATCACAAAGTTTATAATTATTTATACATTGATCGATAAAGAAAACGTCCTTCGTCAGAGAAATAATATTTTTTCTCTTCGTACATCGTTATTATTTGAATCACGTGACCCCGGTGTATTTGCGAATGATCCGAAGGCAAATTTGTGTCACACTTGTGACTCATACACGGTAATATTCCCTGAAAATTCACTCTTCTAAATTTAGTTTACCATTAACATTATTACTAACAGGAGGTTTATGGGTGACAGCTGTTTTTGACCAACCCTTAACATTCTGTTAATTAATTAATTATTTAATTCCTAGTATGTTTTTCATATACACAAACAAAATTGATTCAATATAAAATTATTAAAAATTAATATCTTATATACAAATTATAGTCCAAATTTGGCCAATAACAATTTATAAATAAAATAGAATAAAAATAGTTTTGTCTATGATCCTAATAAATAAAACGTAAAATAATGCAGTTTTATAGACTTTTAAATTTCAATTATTTTTCATAGAATTTTCAATACATCTAAACACTTTTACTAATATAATAAAGAATATTTTAGTTTGATAAAACTATAATCGCTGACTTTCTTTTGAAAGATCCTTTATGAGTGAATTTTCTCGTGTGTACTTCAGGAACATTATTTACGTCGTCTATAGAGACATCCAGTTCCGATCTGTTCGCTAAAGAGTAAAACGATCGATTTTGTTTTCTGTTATATCGTAACATCTTTGCCGGTTCATCAAACTCTTCAAACACGCAAAACAAACACGAGTAAATGTAAAGTTTGTATACAGATTTTTAATTAAAAATATTTATATATATTTATTTTTAATTAAATTAAAAATAGTAAACTTATAATTGCAATTAAATAGACAATATAATTTATTAATGAATACAAAAAATGTATTTAAATGTAAAGCTTGATATCTATGTCAGATGATAGATTGCTTTAATAATAAT